GAGCTGCCAGGGGGAGCTGCCTCTCTTGTCCCCTCTGCCGCCCCCTGGATTCCTCTGCTCCCCGCTGCAGATGGGCTGTGAAGTGTGCAGCTCAGAGTTTTTTTTTTTTCTATAGGGCACATGCGCTCTCCAGACAGACAGAGAGAGACAGAAAAACAGAAAGCGAGAAATCACCCCCCAGGGGGGATGGCCACGGCGCAATCCCTTCTCCTCCATTCTCCTCTCAGGATCTTGGGCACGCACGCACATGCGCCCAGCGTGAGTTTTAAGCCACCGTGTCCGGGACGCGAACCGTGGTCGACTACATGGGAGTCGAGCAACATAGCCATTACACTAACTGCTGGTCCCGCAGCTCAGAGTTTAGACTGATCTTTCCCCTCTGGCCACAGCACTCAGTTTCGCTCGTGCAAATGACACTTCTGGCCCTCCTACTTGACATCCTCCACCATGCAGGGGGACTGGCAGTCGGGCTCTACGGCCTGGGCAGGGCAGGGGGAATGGGGCCAATGAGGCCTCTGTTACTCTTTCTAGGCCTGTCCTTTCAGTGCTGTGTCCTCACGGGCCCTGGCACTCGGGGACCCTCTCTTTGAGGAGGGTCACCAAACACAGGGACTCCTGCTAGGCTGATGGTGTGGCCTGGACACACCCCGGCTGCCCACGCAGGGCAGGCCTCAGCTCACTGGGGACATCCTACAGGAAAAGCCAAGGAAGGAGGGAAAGAAAATTGCCTTTTTCGCTGCCTCAACTGCAATTGCCTCCAGGCTGTTATATAATCAATACCACATCAGTGCCTGTGAGCAGAACGGGCCTTGTGCCCCTGGGGCAGGCCGCTCCAGTGCTCTGTGATTGCTCCTCGCTGGACGGGATGGCTTTCCGGCAGTGGGGCAGTGGGAGGCAGCGGCGTGGCCCCCACCAGCGTGGCCCCCGCCAACGTGTGAGCTCCTGCTTTTCTTCTCCCTCCAGCAGCCTCCCTCCCTGCCTCTCTCTTCCTGTCCTTCCTGCCACCAAAGCCATCAAAGGCCTCTTTGAAGCTCGGCCTTGTTTATGCCATTTATCCCAGGGTGGGATGATCACAGCCATGGGCCGCGTGCCCCCAGGTGCACACTCACAGCCCAGCACTTGCTCAGTGCACGCGCACACACGCTCTCCCCACGCAAATGCAATGGGGAGGCGGCCTGAGGTCTCCCATCTCCTGCTCACCTGCTCAGAGTGGCGGTTCCCCTCACACGTGCTCACGCAACCCACCATGGAGTTTCAGACACTCGAATCCTCACACCTCCCCGCCCCGTCCCCTTTCTCTCTCTCTCTCTCCTTTCCGTCTCTCTCCCTTTCCCCTCTCCGCGTTTCTGTTGGAGATGAACAGAATTTGGCAACGACCTCTCTTCGTCTCCGGCTTTCCCTCCGTCGGCCTCGCTGGCTCACTCCCTGCTGCTCGCGGCATCTGCACACCCAGGTGCACATGGTCCCTCTCACAAGGATGTGCGGTTCGGACCTGTGACGGGTCATGGGATTCAGTGGTGGTCCAGTTCATGGCCTGCCAGACAAGCTCGTCTCAGGCTCCTGACACCGACACTGACAACAACGACGACCCACGTGGAATCAGCAGTTCCCCCCCAGCGCAGATGCAGTGGGCGGCTCCAGGAAGACTCCGAGAGCGGCCTCCCTCGGTTTGAACGCGTGGCTCTGCCATTCGCCAGCTTTGCAGCTTGGGGCAAGTTAGGTGATTGTCATGCCTTGGTTTCAGCGTCTACAAAATG